AAAAATAAAAGACCAATAGGGCAAATAACTGGCTTACCCTCGACCCCTAAGTGGGTGTCTGTCTGGTTTGAGGATTTCCCGGGTGAGTATCCGGCTCAAGGACATTCTGGAAAGAATTTTTTTCTGAGTAAGTGCTTGGTTCTTGTAATAGAATTTTATAAGTATAGTGTTCACTGCTTAATTTTCATACAGTATTAAGTATTTAATCGCCAATATGAAATTTATATTAATGAACAGGAAACGCGTATAGCAGGGTGGGACCTGATAACGTTTATACTTGAAAACAATCCGCTCTGAAACAGGTTGCTATATCTGAGTGTGTTACTTGGGCACTGTCACACACTATTAATGCCTCGCTGCTTATATATTACTATAGTCTCTACGACTCCAACTCAATACATGTTTTCCTGTCTTCGTCTCTCCCTCTCAATTTCGCCCTCATATAGCGCCTGCACTCCAGAATTTTCAAAGCTGGAATGTTCTACATACGCAGTTTGCTTTATTATGAACCCCAGCTCATACACACAATTGTACCTTCTTGGCTCATGTAATCAACCTATGCTTGCAGGATCAACCGCCACATTGCTTGTTACTAAGTGACCTGATTTTTTTAATTTCGTTGTCTCACTGAAAGAAAAGTTTCTATAAAAGCTTCATCTGTTTCATTTGGTAACGAATTAGTCACTATTAGGTATTAATTTGTAGAAATTAAGTTGCATGTTCTGGATGTTTACGAACAGAACTTGATTATCTCTCACCATCATCAGTAAGTTGGATCCAAGTATCGTACTGCCGACAACAATAAAGAAAAGTAGAAGAGCAAGCTTTCATTGAGACAATGTTTACCTCTGTGTAGCGCTTTAACTTGATGAAGCTCTGCACAGAGCGAAGAATTTTTCTTATTAAAGCTTATTCTGTGGCGTGTGTCTTTTCTTGACATCTTCGGAGCTTTGCATGAAGAGAGTGCAATAATTCTTATATGTCGCCCAGTTAACATTAACTCCCAACTTTGCCTGTTTATTAATATCAGCTGTCCACCGTATACTGCCCTTGGAGGCAGTGATTCCTCCCACACCACCCATCCTGTTTCTGCTTCTTAATATCACCACCAACTTGCATGTTTCATCAGGACAGTCTTACAACATACGCCTCCACACCAAGACAGCAGAGGAGAGGCTGCGGGCAGCCATGTACCACCGTGTCAAGAAAGAACTCCGTCTCATGAGGAAAAACTCCATCAGGTTCTCCTATGGCATAGTAAGTTTTTCTGCCATATAACGAATTCTTCTGCGGCATAGAATTTATCTACAGCATGGTAAATTCTGGGAAGTAGGGAAGATGATTATTGTTCCTTAGCTAGGGTAGCATATTTTGTGTTAGTAGATCTCACTGCGTAGGCTAGAGGTTTTAACCATATATGAGTATATAGTATATAGTATATATATATATATATATATATATTATATATATATATATATATATATATATATATATATATATATATATATATATATATATATATATATTAACAAGTCGGCCGTCTCCCACCGAGGCAGGGTGACCCAAAAAAGAAAGAAAATCCCCAAAAAGAAAATACTTTCATCATCATTCAACACTTTCACCTCACTCACACATAATCACTGGTTTTGCAGAGGTGTTCAGAACACAACAGTTTAGAAACATATACCTATAAAGATACACACCATATCCCTCCAAACTGCTAATATCCCGAACCCCTCCTTTAGAGTGCAGGCATTGTACTTCCCATTTCCAGGACTCAAGTCTGGCTATATAAAAATAACCGGTTTCCCTGAATCCCTTCACTAAATATTACCCTGCTCACACTCCAACAGATCGTCAGGTTCCAAATACCATTCGTCTCCATTCACTCCTATCTAACACGCTCACTCACGCTCGCTGGAAGTCCAAGCCCCTCGCCCACAAAACCTCCTTTACCCCCTCCCTCCAACCTTTTTGAGGACGACCCCTACCCCGCCTTCCTTCCCCTACAGATTTATACGCTCTCCATGTCATTCTACTTTAATCCATTCTCTCTAAATGATCAAACCACCTCAACAAACCCTCTTCAGCCCTCTGACTAATACTTTTATTAACTCCACACCTTCTCCTAATTTCCACACTCCGAATTTTCTGCATAATATTTACACAACACACTGCCCTTAGACAGGACATCTTCACTGCCTCCAAACGCCTCCTCGCTGCAACATTCACAACCCAAGCTTCACACCCATATAAGAGTGTTGGTACTGCTATACTTTCATACATCCCCTTCTTTGCCTCCATAGATAACGTTTTTTGTCTCCATATATACCTCAATGCACCACTCACCTTTTTTCCCTCATCAATTCTATGATTAACCTCATCCTTCATAAATCCATCCGCCGACACGTCAACTCCCAAGTATCTGAAAATATTCACTTCTTCCATACTCCTCCCCAATTTGATATCCAATTTCTCTTTATCTAAATCATTTGATACCCTCATCACCTTACTCTTTTCTATGTTCACTTTCAACTTTCTACCTTTACACACACTCCCAAACTCATCCACTAACCTTTGCAATTTTTCTTTAGAATCTCTCATAAGCACAGTATCATCAGCAAAAAGCAACTGTGTCAGTTCCCATTTTGTATTTGATTCCCCATAATTTAATCCCACCCCTCTCCTGAACACACTATCATTTACTTTTACAACCCCATCTATAAATATATTAAACAACCATGGTGACATTACACTTCCCTGTCTAAGACCTACTTTTACCAGGAAGTAATCTCCCTCTCTTCTACACACCCTAACCTGAGCCTCACTATCCTCATAAAAACTCTACAGCATTTAGTAACTTACCACTTATTCCATATACTTGCAACATCTGCCACATTGCTTCCCTATCCACTCTATTATATGTCTTTTCTAAATCCATAAATGCAATAAAAACTTCCCTACCTTTATCTAAATACTGTTCACATATATGCTTCAACGTAAACACTTGATCTACACATCCCCTACCCACTCTGAAACCTCCTTGCTCATCCGCAACCCTACCGTACACTTTTCCTGGTATACTCAGTAAACTTATATATATATATATATATATATATATATATATATATATATATATATATATATATATATATTATATATATATATATGTATATATATATATGTATATATATATATGTATATATATATGTATATATATATATATATATATATATATATATTATATATATATATATATATATATATATATATATATATATATATATATATATATATATATATATATGCAAAACAACCACTGTGAAAGAATAGAGAAGTTCCAAGCGCTTTCGTGACTACTAACATTATATGAGTAGTCACGAATGCGCTTGGAACTTCTCTATTCTTTCACAGTGGTTGTTCTGCACATTCTGAAATCACCTGTTTACTGTGATCTTATTGCGCATATATATATAAATATATATATATATATATAAATATATATATATATATATATATATATATATATATATATATATATATATATATATATTTTTTTTTTTTTTTTTTTCAACAAGTCGGTCGTCTCCCACCGAGGCAGGGTGACCCAAAAAAGAAAGAAAATCCCAAAAAGAAAATACTTTCATCATCATTCAACACTTTCACCACACTCGCACATTATCACTGTTTTTGCAGAGGTGCTCAGAATACAACAGTCTAGAAGCATATACGTATAAAGATACACAACATATCCCTCCAAACTGCCAATATCCCAAACCCCTCCTTTAAAGTGCAGGCATTGTACTTCCCATTTCCAGGACTCAAGTCCGACTATATGAAAATAATATATATATATACATATATATATACATATATATATATATATATATATACATATATATATATATATTATATATATATATATATATATATATATATAACCACTCTATATATCCCCTTTGTTTGATACTCAACCCCTGCCAATTTGGATTCAGGAAAAATAAAAGCACTAATGATGCAATCATAAAAATGCTAGATCTGCTTTACACAGCATTGGAAAATAAGGAATATCCACTAGGAATTTTTATTGACCTAAGAAAAGCTTTTGACACAGTAGACCACGGCATCCTACTCCACAAACTTGACCATTATGGTATAAGAGGCCATGCGCTTGCATATTTCAAATCTTACATTACTAATAGGTATCAGTATGTCACCATTAAAGACACAGCATCAACAACACGGCCACTTGATACTGGAGTTCCGCAGGGAAGTGTCCTTGGTCCCCTGCTGTTTCTCATATACATCAATGATCTTCCAAACGTATCCCAACACCTGAAACCCATTCTCTTTGCTGACGACACGACTTATGTCATCTCTCACCCTAATCTTGCCACCCTCAACACCATTGTTAACGAGGAGCTGATCAAAATATCGACTTGGATGACAGCCAATAAACTTACGCTTAACACTGACAAAACCTACTATATTATGTTTGGTAGCAGAGTAGGAGTTGCGCAAATTAACATTAAGATCGACAACACTCTAATTGCCAGACATAATGAGGGTAAATTCCTAGGCCTATACCTCGACAACAACCTGAATTTCAGCACCCATATCCAACACATAACCAAAAAAGTATCCAAAACGGTTGGGATCCTCTCCAAGATACGATACTACGTGCCGCAAAATGCCCTTCTCACACTATACCACACACTTATTTATCCATACCTCACCTATGCTATTTGTGCTTGGTGATCAACTGCAGCAACACACCTAAAGCCAATAATAACCCAACAAAAAGCCGCAGTAAGAATAATCACTAAATCCCATCCCTGGCAACCCCCCCCACTCTTCATAGATCTAAACTTACTCCCTGTTCAGTACATCCACACTTACTACTGTGCAGTCTACATCTACAGGACCTACCTTAAATTCCAATATTAACCTTGACCTAAAACGCTTTCTTGATAGTTGTGACAGAACCCACAGGCATAACACCAGACACAAACATCTCTATGGCATTCCCCGTGTCTGACTAAACCTTTACAAAAATTCAATGTATGTCAAAGGCCCTAAAATCTGGAACACCCTACCTGAAAACTCTAGAACTGCAGACACATTCATCACCTTCAAAACTACCATTAGAAAACATCTTATCTCCCTGATACACCCCGTCAACTAATTACACGAATACCACCTGGTGGTTCACACTTACACTCCCCCATTTGACCATAAACAGAAATATCAATCTCAATCTTAAAATAATGAATCCTAACTAGTTATAAGTTGGCCTGTGATACTCCAATACTGAAACATGTATTGTGCCAAAACAAAAGCATTCACATTGCTAAACTCACAAACTAGTATTTAGTCACTTAGCCATAATACCAACTTACTTCATAATTTGTAATGTTTTAAATTTAAGAATTAATCTAAGTCTGCCCGAAATGCCTAGCCATGCTAGGTGTTCTAGTGGTACACTCTGTAATTATTATTTTACTACATGTAAACCACACAATAACCAAATTCTGTAAACTCAGCATTGTAATCCTTATAGAGAATAAACTTTGAATTTGAATTTGAATCATAGGCGGATGAAGGCTACGGACAACTGCACACCTGTTCCTGCTTGTTTAGCAATATGTACCTGGGTGTTAGTCCACTGTTGTCAGTGGTATCTCAGGATTAGGGATAATATACTTTATATATGTAATAATTCTTACATAGTATACCTTACATATGATTGGGCTTTAAAATGAATTGAGGTAGTATAACAGTTGCTGCGCTGTAAATGAAGAGGAAGAATACCAGCTGTTAGGCTGTAAATTATATATAAGCTAACATCGATACCATGCCTAACCCTTCTAGTGTAGGGTAGGTGCCTGAGCCCGAGCCTTTAGCTCATAAGACTGTCATTCCCATTTGCCCCCTTGGGGCGAGGATGGCGGACCAGAGAGGCCTAGCTTGTGGCTAGGCCTGGGGACAGTTGGTCCCAAAGATGAGGAGGTACTTGTGCCTCCTCCCATGGGAAACTTAGGTCTCAGACACTCCCTAAAGAGGGAGCCAAGGCCGGGCCACCACTTGGAAAAGGCCCGGGCCGGGAGAATACCGGCTAATCTTTAATAATAATAATAATAATATAAGCTAATTATGTTACAGCACCTAAAACCTAATATCTCATACTTTTGCATGGAAACCTTGGCAGCATAAAGTGTCATAAGTTTGAAACGGTGTAAGGTGCCTTGATGCTAAGGGGCTCTCGATCCAATGAATTATAGCTACCCTTCCAAGAATAAGCCCTAATTACCTCCCAGTCCACAGGCGCTGGATGACCACTACGGATTTATCACTTCCCCGTGATAATAATAATATAATAATAAGGTTAATGAGTTTAATGAACATTCTCAGTCACTGTAGATTAAGGCGCCTCTCTGAAAATTTGGTCTTTTTAGGTTAATAAACTTTTGAAAATATTCATCTATTTTGGGGCAGCCTCTTACTAGTTACTGTTTTCTTCGTTATGTGTTGCTCTTATGTATAGAAACTCCTTTTATATTGTGTGGTTGGGAATGAACAAGGGGTCACCTCAGGTCACCAACAGGACCTTCACTCAGGGCCCTCACCCAAGGACCTCACCATAAGACCCTCACCCAAGGTCACACAGGGCCCTCACCCTAAATCATCCTAGGGCCCCCCACCCCTGGTCACCTACAGGACCCTCACCTCCAGGTCTCCCACAGGTAAACTACGCCAGACAAATGGTGCAGCCGCGAGTGCGTCCCTACGCAGAGTCCTTCCAAGCCTACTGTCAAAAGTGGGCAAAGGTATGCCCTTTTTTTTATTTAACAAAATTGGATAAATCAGCAGTATAGTGCTAACTTTTATATAGTAGTTACATAGTAGGAACAGAGGCTAGCTATGTTTCCTTGCTACAGTTCATCACAAACCATAAATCAAATACGGGTAAGTCTTGCACTTCCTGATATTCAAACAACGAAAAATGGCTATAAAAAATCTGAGAAACCCAAATAAAGACGACAAGGAACTAATATTATGATGCCATATCACATTTTGAGGCAAGCAAAAATAATGTACATTATGATAGGCCCTGGTTATTAGTGGACATGTAATGTAGCATAATGAAAAGTCGTATATTTGTGATTTTCAATGTACAGATATCATTTGAAAGAAAATGTATTAAAATTTTATGGTTTGCAGAGTACACTTTTAGAATTTTATACTTTAAATAATAATATTTAAATATACGCAGGCATGGAGAATCAAGACGCCGAATTAGTAATATAAATTTACTTTCTTGGATTAAAGGCGTACGAGATACCGGAGTTGATGGCTCCTCTGCAGGAGGAGTGGAGCAGCGACAAGCACCTGCTGGCGAAGGTGGTGGCTCTCGCCAGGGCTCTCTGCGTCGTCTACCTCGGTGTTAGTACTCTGATGCTCACTATTAAGGCTAATTTTCTGTCACTACTATAATATTCACTCAATACTATTATCATATATGCTTTATGTAAGGTTATGCTGATGAAGGACTTTTAATCCAACGAATTGCAGTTACTCATCCTCTCACTGGAACAAACCTGTTTATCTCCAATTCATTATTTAAATGAGGATTCGTAATTAATTCACTGGTCGTGAATTGCTCCAGTATTACCACAAATACCACGGCACACTGGATTCGGAGTAAATAGTAATATTTTTTTTACTGGTACGTATTACATAACATATATTAAATTTAAAAACAATACTGGAGGCACACAGGTGTTATTGGATAACCCGATGAAGTCAGTGTGATTTACCTCCACTAGGGTTCTTTTCATGTCCATCACTGTATGTGAACACAGAGTGGCCAGGTACTGAGTGAACTGTGATCTGCATCAGTAGTGGAGCCTCATACTACCGATGATTAAATAAAAATCCTCCTTTCAATAATACGTACTTAGCGTGGTGGACTGTGGTTTGGACCCATATAACATTTTCATACACACTTTGATTATCATTGTACACGTCAGTAGTGCTAAACGTGCCCATTTTTTAGATATTTTCTAAAAATTAGCCAGTCTTCCTTTCTCCCTTAACGACGCTAATATCACGCTACAATAAAGAACCACAAACAGTATGAGCTGACCAAATTAGGAGTGTTCCGTCCATACTATGACACTGAAAACGAAGGGTTATAAATGCCGGAGGATTATTAACCTAGGATAACCCAATAAAGTTGAGTAGTTTAGTTTATTTTCAGTTGGGTTCTTTCTCGTGGATACGAGTCACAACCATCGACTAACTCTGAGGTATTGATATGCTGCTAGGTGAACATGGGCAGCAGATGTCAGCAGACTTGCTCATTACTTCTGGCCACCGGAAATCGAACCCGGGAATTTTTAATTATGAGCACTACACCTTACAGCTGTGCTGTATAAAATAGTGATCGGATCGTTTAAATAAGTGTTGGAACTCCTTTACAAGAGTTATCCGAGAGACTTAGCACACACACACCTAATATCCAAAACCCCCCCAAGATGCATTTAATGTCTTCCCACAAGAATAGCTTAAATATTGTTTTCATCTAACAGCTTTATGACCTAACCGAGTTTAGCTCATCTTGTTATGCATTTATTTATCATTGATTTTATTTTAAAGTTGTCAGTCTGTAATGCTAAACTCATGTCTTTAACAGTTTTTGCTTCGTCTGGTGAAAGGAAAGAAGAGTCGACGAACTCGGTCGATGCGTTCAGAGAGTCTGCGGCGGCGAACACAAAACCTGTCGTGCAGCGGCAGCTCGCTGCCACTAAGCCCCTCAGCCCTGCAGCAGTCATCAGAGCCAACGCCATCTCCCCATCTGGAAGTCCAGGTGAGTCTCCCGGAGCCAGCCCTGAAACAAGACGAAGAGGATTCGGGAGATTCTCGTCCAAAAAACTCCACAAGTGAGCAAAATCCCCCCGTCGGCATTGACAGTGACCGCATGATCTCTCCCATCAATGAGGAAGATGAGTCAGATGAAGACTTGGGCAAGAAAGAGAATGACAATGACATAAGCGAAGGCTCGGTAGTCTCTGTTGATGATGGAGGTAAGGACAGTGGTTTCTCAGACAAGAAGAGTGAGGACGAGGATGGTGTGCCTGTCAAACATGTAAAGAAAGAAGTAACTATGTCGCCACAAACTCAGGCCAAACAAAAGAGTCAAAAATTACGAATAAAGAAAACTTTCTTTTAATTTTTACTTTGTACATTGTATTATACACAGTGGCACAAACTAACACAAAAACGATAAAAGAGATGAATACTGTATAACAGTACTAATGTGTTTTGTTGTCTCCATGTGGATTTGTGGCCATTCTATATTTGTAAACACACATATATTCGGTTTTGTATACCAGTATTATAATCGGTACAGAATATGGTAATTAATAATAGTTATATCTATAAGTACAACTTAAGCTAGTGCAGCATAGAGGAAAAATTCTAAAACGGTTAAAAACTGAAGCTTATAAATATAAGTTATAAATTTTACGTATACATAAATAAATCAAAACAATCAATTGGGGAACTAAAAAAAAAGTTTATTGATGTAGATAACAAGAAGCTGTACAAATTGTATGATTTTGACTGAAATCAGGCGTAGACTGGAATATATGCATGCCTATGTTTAAAACTCCTGAGTTATCAAAATTTTGTAAGTTTATCATGCATGCACAATAATAGATTTTGTAGAATACATTCATATCTCCGTTGAATGAAATTAGGCATAGACTGTGGCATATATATGCATACCTGTATTTAAAACTTGGGTTATCAAAATTTTTTAACTTCATAAATTTTGTAGAATATATGTGTATCCCTTTTAGCTGCACTGTTTTTCAGTGATGTGTTTAGGAGGAAGTGAATGTAAGGAGCATTAGGGGCACAATCTACTGTTTCCAGAGGTCAAATATAATTTAATATATGGTGTATTGATGGTCTGGAAAGAGAACTCACCTTAGTCTAGTGATATCCTCTTAAATAGTTCAGCATCCCCTGGCCTACCCCAGCTAGATTGTCACCTATTTAATGCAAGGGATCGTTACATAGTGGACTCCAAAGACTGAACCTAATGGTAAGGTAAGCTTCTAGTGTAGATTCGCTGGAAAAATACCAACACGCATGTAAAAATGACTTCATTTTTTTTCCACCGTTAAATTTACAAACTAAGAGGCGTTTTCCTATTTCAGCTCAACAGACTAAAAGCTGTCATGACATCTTCGCTTATTTACAGACTAAGAACTGTTATCCTATCTCAGCTCATATACAGATTATGAGTTGTTATCTTACTTCAGCTTATTCTAAATCGCAGTCTCAGCTAAGATATACGAACCCTTCCCCAAGATGCCACCTTCAACAGTCGGCTAACACCTATTTGCTGCTAGGTGTAAGGAGACCTGCCCATAGGTCTTGCACTGCCAGGGAAACTAATTCTGGTCCCTTTGGTTGTTGCTGCGCCCTTGCTGTTGAATTATTATTATTATTGTTTTTTATTATTATCGTTGATTTTTATTATTGTTGTTTTATTAGTTATTATTATTACTGTATTAAAAGCAAGCGGTATATTCATATGAGTGAAGGAAGTCTTTACCCCTTCCTTGGATCTAAAAATGAATGACTCTTACGAGTTCACAAGCGTTACTGAGTATAATCCCTGAGCTCACAAGCGTAGCTACTAAGCCCTGCTCAAATTATCATTATTGTATTCATGATGAAGCGCTAAACCCGTGATGGATTAGCGACTTAGTGCTAACCTTCTTATAGTTGTTCTATAGGACTAGGATATCTAGCACTCACTTGGTTCTCTGTTTTATCTTTGGTAATGTTGTGTGTAGCTTCTTACTCCTGCAGATGCTCTACCTCTGTAATATATATTAATGTTTAAATTTGGGCAATTTCAAAGACAGCAGAATCAAACTTTATTATTCGAGGTTTTGTCATTTATTACCCACAGTGGGACTTTATCATCCACAGTGGAGCTATCACCCATAGTGGGGCTTTATCATCCACAGTGGAACTATTACCCATAGTGGGGCTTTATCATCCACAGTGGAACTATTACCCATAGTTGGGCTTTATCATCCACAGTGGAACTATTACCCACAGTGGGGCTTTATCATCCACAGTGGAACTATTACCCATAGTGGGGCTTTATCATTCACAATGGAGCTATTACCCATAGTGGGGCTTTATCATTCACAGTGGAACTATTACCCGCAGTGGGGCTTTATCATCCAGTGGAACTATCACCCATAGTGGGGCTTTATCATCCACAGTGGAACTATTATCCACAGTGGGGCTTTATCACCTATAGTGGTGTTAATTTGGTATAATAAAAAATTACTAAACGTGTCAAAAAATTACCACCTATGGGCTTCCTTCATTATATACCAATGTTTGAATTTTGTCGTTATCCGTATAATGTCCGAGATTGTCTCACCCAGTGCTGAGATGTGACATAGAAATAAATAATGCTTCTGGCATGATATCCATTACCAGCACGTTAGGTATACTCCAACTAAATAGTTAATCTGAGTTCATGCAGTCATTTTAATATGAATACAAAATGGCTGATCAATAAGTGTATTCGTTATTATTTAACGATGTTATTGACTTAAGAATAATAGAGTACAATACATACTAGAATTTAAAACGGCTCTTCATTAAGTTTCTGAAAATTTCATAATTACCGTCTCATCAAGTCATTCATTTCCTTGGTAAACTTATCTATGGAAGGCTGTTCGATTTCCAGTATTTAATAAAAAATAGACCTTGTTTTAAACCACATTTCACTTTCCTTACAAAGGTAGAACCTGTGGAATTGTAGCTCAGTTTGGTCACGTCTTTTTTACCCAAACGAGGCAGAGCATATCTGCCTTTGGCTCACATTTGCTCTGTTGAATGTGGCAGTGTTATTCGATCTCTGTTATTCGATATACTGAAGTCTTAGATTCTTACAAGCAGCCAGTGGTACTAGTGACCGTATTGACAGTGGGAATGGGCAGAGGTTGCTACCAACCAGCATCACAATTCAGGTTATATAATTAATTTGTATACTGTATATCAGTGACTGTAACAATAACTAAAAGTTCCATAAAGGCTTCGTTTCTGGACCATGAACACGTAGGGGGTCATTGAGCGCCTGGGAACCGGGAGGTAATCGGGCTTGATCCAGAGAAGGGTAGTTCCAATTCCATGGATCAGAGCCCTTCATTAACATCAAGGGATACCTTGAAGGGAATACTGATTGCAAGAAAACAATGATATAAGGAAACAACGAGAATAAATATGGTACCTTTTATTTCTTAGTGCATTGGCACTCACGGGCGAGTGTCAGAGAAAGAGCATTCATAAGAGGGAAAAATGTTTTCCATCATCAACAGAAAGATCCATCTCTCTGAATTATCCACGATATTCAAGAGTTTGATACCTTAGTTTATCGCTGCCTGTAAATATTACAAGATCGACTTGCACAATCATATGAATTCGTATTTCAGCAATAATTCTGGATATACAAGAGGGAGATACAATTGAATTTCATCAGTTTTGCCTTACACATCCCTAGATGCCATCACGAGGATGTGTTGGTGGTGCAGATAGTGTAGGCGGTGATGGTGGGCAGTGATGTAAAGGTGGTGGAAGGAAAGACAGGCTCCGTTGGTCACTGAGGACGGAATATGGAGCTGAAGCAGCAGTCAGGAAGAGGCTCACAGGTTCCATTGTATGTCAGACAAGCTGGGCAGGATGGCAAGACGTTGTCTCTCGATGGGTTGCTCCTCCACACTTCCCTCTCGACCCTCCATCAAGCAGCTGCTGTCAAACTCACACCTCACTGTGGAGTACACACACACACACATTATTCCAGTTTTATGACTCACGAAATCGTAATGACACGATTGCAAACAAACCATACTACGGGTGGGGATAGAACCCGCGATCTGAGTCTCAAACTCCAGACCGTCGCGTTAGCCACTGGACCAGCTAGCCACAATAAGATTCGCTCAACTAGGTATATTTCTACACCATAGGAAGGTTAGCATAGGCACTACTGTGACCACAAATGCAAGTTTTTACAGGCGAATCTCCAGCTATCGTGGCTAACGCGACGGTCTGGAGTTTTGAGACTCTCAGATCGCGGTTTCTATCCCCGCCCGTGGTATGGTTTATTCCAGTTTTATTAAGAGTGGGTATGATCAGACCCTGTTGGTCAGGAATCGATACCTAGAGTTATGTGTAAATCACTCCCTGCAAATAACTAAACCCACGTGGGTCATTTAGCGAGAGACGGGGTGGAGGCTTGATCCTCCGTCTACTGAGCGTGAGACAGACGCCCTTCCTATTTATTCTCTACTCTTGAGTTGTAGCAAAAATACTTGCACCATGACGGTAGATTTATATTTTGTGTACCAGGACATTAATTCCTAATATAATGCAAATCTTGTTTCAAAATTACTGTAAAAAACGTAAAGTAATCTCAGGGTCCACAGGATGTATAGCATTTCGGATGAATGTAGTGTTGAAGTTCAGTATACTAGGACTGCAAATTCTTATTTCCTGTGGATGTTAGACGGACTAGTACTTCAGATTCCTACTTTCTGTGGATGTATGGCAAATTAGTATGTCAGATTCCTACTTTCTGTGGATGTAAGGCAAATTAGTACTTCAGATTTCTTCTTTCTGTGGATGTAAGGCAAATTAGTACGTCAGATTTCTACTTTCTGTGGATGTAAGGCAAATTAGTACGTCAGATTTCTACTTTCTGTGGGTGTAAGGTGTACTATAAAATGAGATTCTCTCTTTCTGTAGATGTAATGTGTACTAGGGCCTCAGATTCCTATTTCCCGTGGAGGTGTGATATACAATGACGTCAGATTCCTACTTTCTGTGCAGCAGATTCCTGAGGCAGCACATCGTCCTTCCCTCATCCTTCCACAGGTGTTAAGGTCAGTGTTGGTGCAGGTGAGAGGTACCAGGTTCTCGGAGCGACACATCCTAGCCTCACGGGTGCCGAGGAAACAACCTAGCCCAGGACCACAGCAGATCTCCGGCCCCATGCAGCGCCCCCGCAGCCCGGGACCACACGATGTACACTGGCAATGTCATCAAATGTTAGTGCAATAATAATAACAATAAAGCTCCTCTCCATAATTTATAATCGCCAGAAATATAAAATTACTTATGACAAGCTATACTAGCTGAATGGCAACCAAGGAGGAGGTGCATACTCACTGTGCGAAAGTGTGCAAGTTGTGTTGTATGTCCAGACCTCTTGCCACCTGGAGGACAGTTGGTGATGAAACAAGCTGTAGCAGCACCCACCAGCACGCCCACCACCATCACCACGCCCACACCCCCCTGCATACCTGCTGACGCAGACGTATGTACTTGTTACCACCACTGAGGAACACAACTATGTGCTATCACAACTACAAGGTAAATTAAATATATTTACCTGGAGAGAGTTCCGGGGGTCAACGCTCCCGCGGCCCGGTCTGTGACCAGGCCTCCTGGTGGATCAGAACCTGATCAACCAGGCTGTTACTGCTGGCTGCACGCAATCCAACGTACGAGCCACAGCCCGGTTGGTCAGGTACCGACTTTAGGTGCTTGTCCAGTGCCTGCTTGGAGACAGCCAGGGGTCTATTGGTAATCCCCCTTATGCCGGGAGGCAGTTGAACAATCTCGGGCCCCTAACACTTATTGTATTGTCTCTTAACGTGCTAGTGACACCCCTGCTTTTCATTGGGGGGGGGGATGTTGCATCGTCTGCCGAGTCTTTTGCTTTCGTTGTGAGTGATTTTCGTGTGCAAGTTTGGTACTAGTCCCTCTAGGATTTTCCAGGTGTATATAATCATGTATCTCTCCCGCCTGCGTTCCAGGGAGTACAGGCTCAGGAACCTCAAGCGCTCCCAGTAAGTGAGTGTTTTATCTCCGTTATGAGCGCCGTGAAGGTTCTCTGTACATTTTCTAGGTCAGCAATTTCACCTGCCTTGAAAGGCGCTGTTAGTGTGCAGCAACATTCCAGCCTAGATAGAACAAGTGACATGAAGAGTGTCATCATGGGCTTGGCATCCCTAGTTTTGAAGGTTCTCATTATCCATTCTGTCATTTTTTTTAGCAGATGCGATTGATACAATGTTATGGTCCTTAAAGGTGAGATCCTCCGACATGATCACTCCCAGGTCTTTGACGTTGGTTTTTCGCTCTATTTTGTGGCCAGAATTTGTTTTGTACTCTGATGAAGTTTTAATTTCCTCATGTTTACCATATCGGAGTAATTGAAATTTCTCATCGTTGAACTTCATATTGTTTTCTGCAGCCCACTGAAAGATTTGGTTGATGTCCGCCTGGAGTCTTGCAGTGTCTGCAATGGAAGACACTGTCATGCAGATTCGGGTGTCATCTGCAAAAGAAGACACGGTGCTGTGGCTGACATCCTTGTCTATGTCAGATATAAGGATGAGAAACAAGATGGCAGCGAGTACTGTGCCTTGTGGAACAGAGCTCATAAATGTTCAAAAAATGTCAATATTTTATCCACAGTGGATTATTACCAGCCATTTAAAAAAAATCCCTGATTTTGTCTATTGTAAATAACTCATAATTAATTAAACTTGTTTAAATTCAGTTATGCCTTGCTAAATATTAGACAATGTAAATAATACAAAACTGCATATTTAAGAACATAAGAAAGAAGGAACACTGCAACAGGCCTACTGACCCATGCGGAGCAGGTCCATGTCCCCCCCGATAAGACCATTGACCCCCCCCCACCGAATTAGCCCAATGACCCACTCAGTCTGGTCACCTAAACTCAAGGATGGACCCAGCAGCACAAGCTAGTCAGGTCCAACTCACACCCACCCACACCCACTCATTAAGCTACACTAATATTTTTGTGAGTGTATTTATGTCTGCATAAACATGTAAATAGTTCATTACCACGAACTTGCTTAGCTATCAAAACTTTGCGTCTAGTTTCTGGACCCATTACGTGCCTCTGTAACTTTTTTGACTACCACCCACAGACAACATATGAGGTGCATAATAAAGTAATGTAACTAACAGAATTCATTACTAAAGAAAATTATGCACTCTATATATAAAACAATGCCGTACATGCATCTCATTATTTATATTTTTTGACACAAAATACGGTCTTGAGAATGAAAGCAATCTACCTGGTGTACAAACACCTCAAGCGACCCCTTCGGGATCAGTGTTTACCTATAAATATAATTATAATCATTTTCAAGGCTCTGTCTTCAAGTATAAAGGTAATTACTTGAGAAATCCTTGTAGGCAAGAAAGAACTTGATAGATTCCTGCAATATATAGCCGTCAGTTTGCAGCAAGCACTTACAGTCTGACTGACCAAGACTCCAAGCTAGATGATACCCGGAACCATCACTAGCAACACTGTCACTGTATAGAGCTCACCCGTTACAATATTACTGTGAAGCTCACCAGTTACAGTGACGGCTGCTGCTACACTATCACTGTATTGAGGTCACCAGATACACTATCACAGTATGAAGCTCATCAGCTACACTATCACAGTATGAAGCTCATCAGCTACACTATCACAGTATGAAGCTCATCAGCTACACTATCACAGTATGCAGCTCATCAGCTACACTATCACAGTATGAAGCTCATCAGCTACACTATCACAGTATGAAGCTCATCAGCTACACTATCACAGTATGAAGCTCATCAGCTACACTATCACAGTATGAAGCTCATCAGCTACACTATCACAGTATGAAGCTCACCAGCTACACTATCACAGTATGAAGCTCACCAGCTACACTATCACATTTTGAAGCTCATCAGCTACACTATCACAGTATGAAGCTCATCAGCTACACTATCACAGTATGAAGCTCACCAGCTACACTATCACAGTATGAAGCTCACAGCTACACTATCACAGTATGAAGCTCATCAGATACACTATCACAGTAGAAGCTCACCAGATACACTATCACAGTATGCAGCTCACCAGATACACTATCACAGTATGAAGCTCACCAGATACACTATCACAGTATGAAGCTCACCAGATACACTATCACAGTATGAAGCTCACCAGATACACTATCACAGTATGAAGCTCACCAGATACACTATCACAGTATGAAGCTCACCAGCTACACTATCACAGTATGAAGCTCACCAGATACACTATCACAGTATGAAGCTCACCAGATACACTATCACAGTATGAAGCTCACCAGATACACTATCACAGTATGAAGCTCACCAGCTACACTATCACAGTATGAAGCTCACCAGATACACTATCACAGTATGAAGCTCACCAGATACACTATCACAGTATGAAGCTCACCAGATACACTATCACAGTATGAAGCTCACCAGATACACTATCACAGTATGAAGCTCACCAGATACACTATCACAGTATGAAGCTCACCAGCTACACTATCACAGTATGAAGCTCATCAGCTACACTATCACAGTATGAAGCTCACCAGATACACTATCACAGTATGAAGCTCATCAGCTACACTATCACAGTATGAAGCTCATCAGCTACACTATCACAGTATGAAGCTCATCAGCTACACTATCACAGTATGAAGCTCATCAGCTACACTATCACAGTATGAAGCTCACCAGATACACTATCACAGTATGAAGCTCACCAGATACACTATCACAGTATGAAGCTCACCAGCTACACTATCACAGTATGAAGCTCATCAGCTACACTATCACAGTATGAAGCTCACCAGCTACACTATCACAGTATGAAGCTCATCAGCTACACTATCACAGTATGAAGCTCACCAGCTACACTATCACAGTATGAAGCTCATCAGCTACACTATCACAGTATGAAGCTCATCAGCTACACTATCACAGTATGAAGCTCACCAGCTACACTATCACAGTATGAAGCTCATCAGCTACACTATCACAGTATGAAGCTCATCAGCTACACTATCACAGTATGAAGCTCACCACTACACTATCACAGTATGAAGCTCATCAGCTACACTATCACAGTATGAAGCTCATCAGCTACACTATCACAGTATGAAGCTCACCAGCTACACTATCACAGTATGAAGCTCATCAGCTACACTATCACAGTATGAAGCTCACCAACTACACTATCACAGTATGAAGCTCATCAGCTACACTATCACAGTATGAAGCTCACCAGATACACTATCACAGTATGAAGCTCATCAGCTACACTATCACAGTATGAAGCTCACCAGATACACTATCACAGTATGAAGCTCATCAGCTTACATACTTCACAGTATGAAGCTCACCAGATACACTATCACAGTATGAAGCTCACAGCTACACTATCACAGTATGAAGCTCATCAGCTACACTATCACAGTATGAAGTCACCATACAGCTATCACAGTATGAAGTCATCAGCTCACTATCACAGTATGAAGCTCATCAGCTACACTATCACAGTATGAAGCTCACCAGCTACACTATCACGTATGAAGCTCATCAGCTACACTATCACAGTATGAAGCTCATCACTACACTATCACAGTATGAAGCTCACCAACTACACTATCACAGTATGAAGCTCACAGCTACACTATCACAGTATGAAGCTCATCGCTACACTATCAAGTATGAAGCTCACCAGCTACACATCACAGTATGAAGCTCATCAGCTACACTATCACAGTATGAAGCTCACCAACTACACTATCACAGTATGAAGCTCACCAACTACACTATCACAGTATGAAGCTCATCAGCTACACTATCACAGTATGAAGCTCACCAGATACACTATCACAGTATGAAGCTCATCAGCTACACTATCACAGTATGAAGCTCATCAGCTACACTATCACAGTATGAAGCTCACCAGATACACTATCACAGTATGAAGCTCATCAGCTACACTATCACAGTATGAAGCTCACCAGATACACTATCACAGTATGAAGCTCATCAGCTACACTATCACAGTATGAAGCTCACCAGCTACACTATCACAGTATGAAGCTCACCAACTACACTATCACAGTATGAAGCTCATCAGCTACACTATCACAGTATGAAGCTCACCAGCTACACTATCACAGTATGAAGCTCACCAGCTACACTATCACAGTATGCAGCTCACCAGCTTCATTATCACTTTGTCATCCTTCTCATTATGTTTACCAGGAATTACTATGTATCAAGTTGAAGTATGTATAGGGACTAATATTACATTTATTTCTAAGTATGAAACCAAAAAGTTTATTAAGTTTGTATCGATCATTTACGTACTCTTGTCTTGGGTTTACATTTTTGACAACCAGAACTCCTAAGGCTTTTTTTTTCTAATTTAGTTCAAGTTCTCTATTATACAATACATATCATGATAAAAATTTCTTTTAAGAGTGGGCGGGGTAGGGTACAATTACCGGTTCAAGGATGATAGATATAATGTTTGTCAGGAAACAGGACAAGTGTTTCCTGACGCGGGTCTTTGTCATATGATGACCCACAGCTGGAACTTTTAGTCATCTGACCGAGGACTTCCGCTGGCTTACCGGTCCACCTGTTTAAAAATCATGGTTTATGATTATAATCATTAGGAATATCTCTATCACCTGTTCAAGGACCTACTGGGTATTTAGATAACATTATAATAATCCCTTTAAAGGTGTCCCGTAGCTCCATAGCTAGTGCACTCAGCTCACACACTGAGGTCCGGGGGTCGATCCCCGATACGTGTTTCCTTAAAACTCCTGCTGTCCATGTTCACCTAGCAATAAAATAGGTACCTGGGTGTTAGATGACTGGTGTGGGTCTCATCCTGGGACAAAATTGATCTAATTTGCCCGAAATGCTCAGCATAACAAGCGGCTTTCTATATAGTAGTATGTCACTGATGTCAGCTATGATCTGTATACCTTGTACATGTACTTGTAGAAATAAAGTTTATTATTGTTATTACTAAAGGCGGAAGAATCAAGCTTGATTACCTCCCATTTTTTCTTTTTAGGTCACCCTGCCTCGGTGGGATATGGCCATATTGTTAAAAAAATGTTAATATAAGAATGTCGGCTTAGATCGGGCAGAAAGTGACGTGCTCAGTATGTTAGAATCAGACAATACACTTTTTGTTTGTATTCCCCTACGTAGTTGTGCATGTGTTAATTAAGGAGTTGCCTATTCTGGTGTTTTATTAGTTAGGAAACAGGACAAGCATTTCCTGATATGGGTCATATTCATTTATAATGCTCCGCAGCTTCTATAGTTATTATTATTATTAAAGGCCTTCTGTTAGATCACCAGTTCGCATTAAAAAAAATATACAGATCACATCCTGTTATGTTTTTTTACTTACCTGTTGGGTGACGAGTGAGTGTGAGAGGAGGGAGAGTGAGGTGTGTGGCTGAGGCAGGAGAGCCTAGTGGTCGAGTATCCTCTGACGCAGACTTATATACCCGAGGTTTTAGTAGTCGCGTGAGAGTTGTGTTGCCTAGGACACCACTATGCTGGGAACCCCCTTCCCCCTCCATCTCCCCTCCCCCCCCGACACACACACAAGCTGAGTCTTGACCTCCACAAATGCACACACACTAAGACTGGAAGGAACAAAAAGACCGGAAACCGGATATAGACTAGGGAGACAGGCTATAGACTGCACTCAAAGAGAAAGACCTAGAAAGGAACATAGTGCCCAGTATATTGCCAGAGACACAAGTCTAATAACCTAGGCATCCAAAGCACGACTGGTAAATCTAAGACTCTCAGGAATCTTCTGAACTCTCTATCTTGCACCAAAAAGAAAAAAAATAAGAAAGTGCAGAGTATTCAAAAAGTCTTGTTTCTAAATTAAAGAAAGACTAACCGAATTTAATGTAAAAATATTGAAGGACGGAAGATCCAGAGAGGACATGATAACAAAATACTCAGCAGAATTGATAAGGTAGACAGGGATAAGGTCTTTGAGAGGGAAGAAACGGGAATCCAAGGACACCTTTGGAAGTTGACAGTTAAGCCACAGGGATAAACCGCGGTACGGGTGGGGATTAAACTCGGGAAAAATGAATCGTAAAACTCCAGTCGTAGAACTCATTTGCCGTAAATTCATTATTATAGTCATGGGGGAGCGCTAAACCCTTAGGATTATACAACGCATGTGGGGGGAATGGAAGGTATTCAGGCTCAATTCAGGGAACCGGAGCACAGATCCAATTCCCTAGATCAAGAGCCCCTCACCAGCGTAAAGGAACCTCCCTCGAGGGGCCGCGAGTTCAATCCCCACTCGTACTGTAGTTTGTTTGCAATCGTATCATTACGATTTCGTGAGTCATAAGCCACAGGGATGTTAGGAAGTATTTCTTCATTTTCAGAGTGGTTGGAAAGTGGAATGATCTTAGTGGGGAAATGATGGAGGTACGATAGGGCCCTAGAGGCTTTTAGGGAGCTAATCTGAAGAGCAGCAAGTTAAGAGGCAGGGCCAGGATCTAAAAATCGACCACTGTAACAACAAATAGGCGAGTATAAAAGTGAGTACACACACACACACACACACACGCACACAGATGAGTCAAAGGGATGTTAGGAAGTATTTCTTTAGTCACAGAGTTGTCAGGAAGTGGAATAGTCTGGCTAGTGACGTAGTGAAGGCAGGAACCATACATAGTCTTAAGACGAGGTTTGATAAAGTTCATGGAACAAGGAGAGAGAAAACCTAGTAGCGATCAGTGAAGAGGCGGAGCCAGGAGCTATGAATCGACCCCTGCAACCACAAACAGATGAGTACACACACACAGACGGAGTACATGCTGGGAACCAAAGGCTGCAAACCTCACTTGGAGAAAATGATCTTGAGATCAGTATCATACCCAGCACAGCTGAGGCGCACATCAACTAGACAACTGCTGCAGCACATGGGTGCCTGGCAAACCTGAAAATAGTGTTTCGACACCTGAGTAAAGAGTCATTCAAGGCACTGTACACTGTGTACGTCAGGCCTCTATTGGAGTATGCAGCACCAGTGTGGAACCAATACCTGGTCAAGCACGTTAAGTAATTAGAGAAAGTGCAAAGGTCTGCAACAAGACTAATCCCGGAAATCAACCTGATGACAGTGAAGGACAGGGACAGGGGGGAGACAAGATAACAATATATATATAAAATACTGAAAGGAATTGAAAAGGTGGATGGGGCAGAATGTTTCAGAGACGGGACACAACAACAAGTGGTCACAACTGGAAGTTAAAAAACTCAGATGATTCACAGGAATGTTAGAAAGCATTTCTTCAGTTATAGAGTTGTCAGGAAGTGAAACAATCTGGAGAGTGATGTAGTGGAGGCAGGATCCATACATAACTTTACGAAGAGGTACAATAAAGCTCCTGGAGCATGGAGAGAGAGGATCTGGTAACGACCAGCGAAAAGGCGGGGCCAGGAACTACAACTGCAACCATAAATAGGTGAGCGCACACACATACACAATACACAAACCTCGTCAAACATAATATGGAGAGCGCTGATTGGCTTCGTGCCTGGCTTGGTGTGTGTACATCACTTGAGTGTTAAGCATATATGTGCCAGGTGTGACAGTGATGTATGACACAGCCAGGTGGAGGCGTGAGAAAGCCTATTCTCTTCCTCTATAATGGCGACACCTTGTGTTAATAAGGTCAGACTAGCGCCCTTACGTGTGATCGCAGCTGGGCTCAGCTGGTATAGACCCACTCATAATTTGATACCTCAACACTGGTCCCTGTCTACCATCTACTGTGTGTTGTCCTAACACTGGCCTGTCTACCATCTACCATATAGTATTATTTGATACCACAACAATAGTCCATATCTACCATCAACGTGCTCACATATGATGTCCCAAACTTCTGCATACTGTTTTTATCCAATGCTGGTGAGTGTCTACTGTCTGCTGTGTTCTTTGTTACCCCAATTTATATACACTCCTTAGTACATGTGACGGATGAGAGATTTGCTTATTGAGGTTGGTTGGTAGTGGAAGGCATGTAATTTTCAGCCTTCGTTTCACACACACACACACACACACACACACACACACTGCAATGGATCAGAGAATACCTGACAGGGAGGTAACAACGAGTCATGGTACGTGACGAGGTGTCAGAGTGGGCGCCTGTGACAAGCGGGGTTCCACTGGGGTCAGTCCTAGGACCTGTGCTGTTTTTGGTATATGTGAATGACATAACGGAAGGGATAGACTCAGAAGTGTCCTTGTTTGCAGATGATGTGAAGTTAATGAGAAGAATCAAATCGGACGAGGATCAGCAGGACTACAAAGAGACCTGGACAGGCTACAAGCCTGGTCCAGCAACTGGCTCCTTGAGTTTAACCCTGCCAAATGCAAAGCCATGAAGATTGGGGAAGGGCAAAGAAGACCGCAGACACAATATAGTCTAGATGGGCAAAGACTGCAAACCTCACTCAAGGAAAAAGATCTGGGGGTAAGTATAACACCGAGCATATCTCCTGAGGCGCACCTCAATCAGATAACTGCTGCAGCACACGGGCGTCTGGCAAACCTACGGATAGCATTCCGATACCTCAGTAAGGAATCGTTCAAGACTCTGTATACCATTTACGTCAGGCCCATACTGGAGTATGCAGCACCAGTTTGGAATCCACACCTGGTCAAGCACGTCAAGAAATTAGAGAAAGTGCAAAGGTTTGCAACAAGAATAGTCCCAGAGCTAAGGGGATTGTCCTACGAAGAAAGGTTGAGGGAAATCGGCCTGACGACACTGGAGGACAGGAGGGTCAGGGGAGACATGATAACGACATATAAAATACTGCGCGGAATAGACAAGGTGGACAAAGACGGGATGTTCCAGAGATGGGACACAGAAACAATTGGAAGTTGAAGACTCAGATGAATCAAAGGGACGTTAGGAAGTATTTCTTCAGTCATAGAGTAGTCAGGCCGTGGAATAGCCTAGAAAGTGACGTAGTGGAGGCGGGAACCATACATAGTTTTAAGGCGAGGTATGATAAAGCTCATGGAGCAGGGAGAGAGAGGACCTAGTAGCAATCAGTGAAGAGGCGGGGTCAGGAGCTATGAATCGACCCCTGCAACCACAAATAGGTGAGTACACACACACACACACACACAACAGGATAAACAGGCACAGTCTGGAACCGGGCCGTGGGGGCGCTGAGACACGAAAATATCATTTGGGTATTCTCTTCAGCAGATACAGAATGAGAACAGGGGGCATAGATACTATGGTCTTCGGATTTGGGAGTCAGGTAAGGTCAGATATGGAATATTGTTGGAATTGGGATCTAAAGATTAAACTGGTTGGCGGAATGTATTAAAAGTTTTCACACCCTATCTGGCTTTTATTGTCCCTGGGATATATATATATATATATATATATATATATATATATATATATATATATATATATATATATATATATATATATATATATTATATATATATATATATATATATATAATATATTATATAATATTATATATATATATATATATATATTATATATATATATAATATATATATATATATATTATATATAATATATATATATATATAATGCGTGCACATTTTTCAGCAGTAAAGGTAGTGTAAGTCACCTGAACTGTTGCTCAGGGAGACACCATTACCACAGAGGCATCACACACCAGCACATAATGGTCAAGATTGCCTTCATCGGGTCGTGGCCAGGAGGTCGTGTTTCAGTTTTTGTGGGAGACACGTCACTCTCTTCGACTCTACCCCCATGATCTCCCTCCCATTCCCTGTCCCCACTCCAATAAACTACCCCCTTTCCCATTCACCCTCACCCCTGACCCTCTCTCTCGCTTCTCAACTTCTGTTTCTCATTCTATTTTTGGAATGTTGATTTGTAATAGTAATGAATTTGTGTGCAATAATGTTGGTAGAATTACCGGCAATATGTAAAGTAAAAGGACATTTGTGTGGTTTGTATAAGGGCTATTTTTGTGTGATTTGTATAAGGGCTAGTTTTGTGTGATTTGTCAAGTACTGCTTTCTGTGATTTGTATTGTCCTACTTTTGTGTGACATTTATGGAGCTATATTTTTGTGATTCGTATAGTAGTTCTTTTTTGTGGCTTATATGGTGCTGCGTTTGTGGGATTTGTATAGTACTGTTTTGTGATTTGTACAGTGTCACTTTTGATTTATCTGTATATTACTATTCGGGTAATATTTAGTATAGGGGCTACACCAAACTAACCCTGTATTTTTATTTTTTGCAGTGCAAGCAATCAATCCATAGACTGGCAAAAATAGTAATTTCTTGTGCAAACTGTCATTTTAATACCTATTAACAACTATATCATTTTTATGAGAGGTGTGTATATCTGATAAAATGTATGTCTGACCAATGAGTGCTTAGTATTCAGTGAAGTAAACAGTTCCAATACTTGCAGCTACAGAAAATACATGTGACTAGAGCTTCTGCCACATAATTCGAAATTTTAGTTGACAAGACTAACGGAATTAGGACTTCACAGTGTGAGTATCATTATTGATCAATTACTTAATGAGTTAGTTGTCGATAGGTTAGACTGGGTATCGCTGAGTTTCTTTTTTGCGGGTTGGGTTAGATTAGGCCGGATTTCGTTATGGTGGGTTGGGTATCGTAAGGTTTCCTTATGATGGATTGGGATAGGCTGGGTATCGTTGGGTTTCGTTATGGTGGATTGGGTTAGATTAAGATGGATAGCGTGGGGTTATGCTAGTCTGGGTATCGTTTAGTTCCGTTATAGTGGGTTGGATTAGGCTGGGTTTCATTATAGTGGATTGGTTAGGACGGGTTAGGCGTGGCTAGGTTAGGTTACGTTGTAATAAATTAGGTTGGCTATAATATTTAAAAATTGTTTTTTATGTTTATTTAAAGTGAAGCTATATTAAAAAAAACAGCGTTGTTTTCCATTTAGAGCAATTTAAATTTATCTCCATTGCACAAGTCAGTCATTATTGATCACTTGCATTCATAAATTTTCCCAAATTACGGTGGAGCCTCTAAACTATTTGTTCTTGCTTTTGAGATTTGTACAATATTATATTTGTGCGATTTGTACAACAGTGCTTTTGTGAGCGTAGTACTTTTTTGTATACTGTTATTCTTAATTATCATATCTTCGTCTTCCTCCTTTCTATTATTTTTATCTTAATCAAGGGAAGCGTTAAATCCATAGGGGTCATATAGCGGCTGGGAAATGTTTGATATTTATATTTGATTCAGGTAAAGGGAGGATAAATACTGTTCCTTGGATCAAAGGGTTATTCTTCCCCTTATTTTTTCAATTATTATTATTATTGTCGGGTCGCCCACCGAGGTCGGGAGACCCGACGGAGGAGATACCTTCACTGTCCTGCCAGAAGCGCATTAATAATAATAATAATAATAATAATAGGATTAGTTGACTTTGGTATATTTTCTAGAAACACCCGGTTATGCAAAGCATAACGGACTCTGGTTTGCAAGAATGCTAGAGTTTGCAATCTTTGACATTAACTCAGACACTGGTTTATGATTATGATGTTTTTTGTAATTTTTAAACAGTTTGTTATAAAGTTTGTAGTGGTTATTAAATATATTGTTCAAATACAAATGCTAATCTCCATTTCAGTATTACTGCATAGGACATACAATAATCTGAAGGTCCATAGAATGCATACCATCTCGGGAAAACTTAAACTATACTGTACTTAAAATTTACATAGCCTTTTTTTCTGAGGGAATACAGTATACAATTGGCGTTGGAATAATTGATATGAATAAACTATTTTACAGAAAACTTCTTGTTATCCAGAGCATTTCGCACAGTCTTAAATTTAACTTATAATTTCTAGACAATGAGACAAATAGACTATTAGAATGCTGTTCCCCTTTATTTATTACACTCGTTTATCCCCTTTTCCTTTATGCTTGTTTTAATGTTTATTTCATGTTACGCGCTAAACCCATGTGGGTCAGCGCAAGACGTGGTGATTGCTTGATCCTCCGTCTGCTGAGTGCGAGACACACGCGCTTCTTTTTATCTGTACTTACCTATTTGTGACCCTTTTGCCTTATACAAAGGAAGTATGCTCTCCCAATCTGTAAATACCTTACCTCTCTTCCATTCATATATTTAACAGATGCACCCACCACTTCAAAACTGTATCCCCCTCCTGCTTTAAACATTTTTTTGTCTTAATCCCATTCTACCTTCTACCTTATGCATCTCCCTCACATGCAAATGTGTCTCTTCCTCACTCCTAAAAGTTGTTATACCTCCTTGCCCAATGAAAAAAAAATCACTGCCTCTCATCAACAGTCAACAACTCTTCAAAATATTCCCTCCATCTTCCCAGTACATCCTCCGCCCCAATCTTATGCTTCCCATTTGTTTTTAACTCTTGCATTTGTTTCCCAGGCTTTCTCAGCTTACTGATCTCACTCCAAAACTTTTTTTACTAGCAAAATTTGTTGATAAAACCTCTCCCACTCTCTCATTAGCTCTCCTTTTGCACTCCCTCACAACTCTTAACTTTTGATCTCCATGTATTCCTCCCTCCGTCTATCACATCTGCATAGTGAAAATCTGTCATATACCAACTTTTTCTCCCCTATCTCCCTCTTTACCGTGTTATTCCGCAAATCACTCTTCCTCCTTCCTGCACTCACTATACCCACAAACTTCTGCTGCACACTCTAGCACTGCATTCTTAAATCTGTCTCCATTAATTTAGAAGCTTTCACTTTTATCCACTGATGACATTCTCCGTGTACCCCATCTACCTCTTACTCTCACTGTAGTTACCACTAAATAATGATCTGATAATATTTGTCTCTCGTCTATAAGCATGGTCACTTATAACATTTCATAAACCCCTTCGGTCAGTATTTAGTTTAGCTGTTCTATGAAATACGATGATAATTTAGTTTAAATGATAATTTATACTTTAAAATATGCAATATGTGGGTTGTGCAGTGGAGGTAGTTATAGCGTGCAAAATTTTGTATTTATTTTTTAGTTCAAGTTATGTTGGGCTGAGTTGTATCCCAGCTTAACCTAACGCTAAAACTCGCTTAACAATCAGTGTAATTGTTATAACATCCTAATTCTCTCAATTAAGTCTAAGGAAAAACCATACCATGTTTCACTTACTCCACTGCATCTACATATAACACAATACCTCTCCCCCCCCCCCCCCCCAAAAAAATTATAACCAGCTGCACAACAAAATTATTTGCACTGCAAATTCCACTTAATATTGTACCTAAACTAAATATTAACTAGGGGAAACAATAAATCTATAGGGATCATATACCAACTGAGGAATGGGAGGCAGTCCGAATTTTTTTTAATTCCATTAAGATTAGTCTATTGATTTCCGTGATATGGCAGAGACTAACTAACCTGAAACCATTGTTCTCTCTGCCTCCACCGTACCCAACATAATAAGGGAAGTTACTAAATATAAATCTTAGAGAAATCCAGCTTAATTTCAAACTAATATGATAGTCACATTATTTTCATGGGAAAGCGCTGAACCCTTGTGGGAGGGAAAGGGAAATAATCAGGTTTAATTCAAGTAAAAGAAGGGTAGCTGTAATCTACTGCTGCTGGGCTTCATGAGGGTGTTGGTATATACTTGTTGGGCTTTAATGACATTTGATTCAAGGGAAGGGAGACCACTAACCCCGGAGACATACAGCGCCTAGATAAATGGAAAGCATTCAGACTCGATTCAAGGAAACGGATCATGAACCCCTCACCAGTATCAAGGAATCTTCCTTGAGGGATGTTGGTCTTAACGAGTTATGATATATACCCGGTCTTTATGAAGGTGTTGATATACGTCTGCTGGGCTTTGAGGCTTTTTATCCAAGCTGTTGGGCCTCTGTGGACGAACCTTCACAATACTTGGTACAAGGAGCCGCTTGTCCGATTATGAGCTACTGCTTCTGGGATTCTAGCCAGCAGTGATTGTACGACTGCATTATTTTCAGTATTGCATTCATTGGGAAAAATGGGGGAAGAGCTAAACCCCTAAGGGTCATACAGCACCAGACTGGGAAACTATTAAGGTCGATATGCGCAAAGAACAGATCCAACCCCTTTCATCAATTATTATTATTATTATAATCAAAAAGAAGCGCTAAACCACAAGGGTTATAGGTTATACAGTCCCCTGTCATCAAGAGCTCATCATCAAGGATAGGGGTGATAAATCCACAGGGGGTCATCCAGGGCATGAGGGAAAAATATTCATATCAGGATCGATCCAAGAGAAAGATAGGCCCCCTTGGTTCGATAAGTGCCCCTTACTGGCATTGAGGCACTTC